CTACTGCAAAATTGAATTGTTTAAACTGTCAAACAGCAAGCAAGCGGTCACCGGTGACCGCAACCTATTGTTCTATAATTGTGTCTATAATGACGGTACTCGACGAGTTAAATGTCTTGTGTTGTTACCTTTTCGAGGGGGGGGGGGGGGTTTGAATCAACCTTTGAATTAAAACATTCCCCCGTCTTTAGCTGAAACGAGAGATAGTGTTGGACTCTTACTAAATAACCACCCAATTTGGAGTGCGTCAAGCCGGAGCATTTATAGGCTGTTGATGATGATGATGATACCTACATATAAATTAACTACTTATAACAGGCTTATTCTGACCCCCTACTAGACATATGTCACGTAGCTCTATTTGAAGATGTAAATAGAAAAGTCGGTGCCTTGGCTTTACACTGATATTACCACTCTCTGTGACCCTTACAATGTTTTTTCTATTGGCTCATTCGAACAGATTAGTTCCCCACGGACTTGTGGTCCGTGCCCTTGTCATATAATTTTTTTATTACAATACATCTAGTAAATTTTTATAAAGTAAAGAAGGTACCTACCTAGTTATACACTAAAATTAACCACATCTATAATTATTACTAAAAGTATAAATTACATAATAATTAGGTATTATCTATTTATATCTATTTTGAAGGCTCTACGAAATCAGCCCACCAACAAGATGGGAGAGCCGACCTCGCAGAAGGGTGCCTTTTGCTGGGCACCCGTTCACGAGTATGACGTGTGTGTCGGCAATTGGTCCGGTCAACCTTTTTATTGAGAACAGAACAACCCAATAGTCCAAAAGTCAATATGTTATTTTCTACTTCTACATCTTTCTGCATTCACATTTCCTCGTGTTGCATTCGTTTTATCACAAGGAAAATTCCCCGCCCAAGAGAGCACCCACAACTATCGTGTCCCAGTGTTTTATGGCTATTTTCAGTTTGTAGTCCTTAATCCCTTGCTCACTCTCATCAGCCGCCTTCCTTCGTCCTATTTAAAACCCTTGACAGTATAACGCTGGACAGACTAGCAAAGCCCGTATTTTGAGATGCCACAGGTGTAACCTACTACGAAGTTTTCCCAGACAGGTATTTAAATAGATATTTCCTAGTTCTTAAGTAGTACCTAAAGATGATGAATGACCTAACAGTAAACTTGTTTCACAAGTCTCCCCATATCACAATGCATGTTATGGTAATCGAAGTTAAACAGGTGTCGTCAGCAACATTGTGCCGGTGGGAAGATGAGCCACACTTTACAAATATTCTCTACTGACCTCATTCAGGAAAGGGAACTAAAATCTTCTGCAGTTTCAAGGTTTAAATGTTTCATTGTTTGGTTACCAAAGCAATCTTTGTCGATCTCAAGCATTTATTGGATTCGGGTCATAATTATATCTATGTATGTGCGAAGACGTAGCGTAGGTGAGCCGACGACATCGTCAGAGTCGCGGGGAACCAATGGATATATGTGGCGACCTGTCTTTCAACGTGTAAGACTAAGATAGAAGCTTTTGTTCAGTAAAATAAGTGTTTCGGTTGATAATGGTGATGATAATGCACTTCATACAGCATACAGTATATATTATATATATCACTTTACTTCAGGTCTATCAGTTCTTAATTTTTTAATCTACAGGTTAGAGTAGATTTAGGCTTCATCTTATATTATAGGAGTTTCAATGGGTGTGGTGTAACAGGCTTGTTACAAAATGTTACCTTCGTCATCATCAGCCCAATTGCGTAAACATAGACGCCTAAGCCTATCCAAAAGCACGCTACTGAGAATTTTTTCTTCTCCTCTATTAATATCTTCTGATTTATTTCGTTGCAGGAACCAAGACATTCATGTTCCTGTGACACGCCTGACGTCAGTGTTCCGGTGTTTTCATGGTTGTATCTACTGTAGATCCTGGCTTACAGGAGTTGCAGCGGTTTTGGAGGTTGTGGCAGGCTTGTCATATTAAAAACCACGTTACCCAGCTCAATCGTTTAGCTCTTCGCATCTACCCACTGTACAGCCAGCAGTGTTACCTACACAGCGGATATCGTCTCACACCAAGCTGGAAGGCACCTAACACTTTGTTTGCTATTATACGAATGGAGTTTCTTGCTTGTTCTTCTCCATTCGAATCTACATTTTGGAATGAGCACCTAGCTTCACCTAGCTTCACTGACGGACTGACTGACAGACTATTATTTATTTTGTATTTGTTGACGTTTCAAAAGTACCAAACTATTTCAAAAGTACTTGACTTTCTAATTATTATTATTAATGCCCAAATGTAATTTTCCTAAAAACAAGTCTTATTTTTGTTATAAAAATGCATCAGACAATTAAACCCTTAAATCATCGCAAGCAAATGACATTCTAGGACGAGATAACTCCGGACCAAAGTCGAGACGGATTCATGGAAAATATACTATTTTTATTTACCATGTAATAAAACTCGATACTAAGTTAATACAAGTATTTACTTTATATATGCGTGGGTAATTTATTTTTTGTATAACATACTGTAGCACACTGATAAGTAGTAAGCATAAATAGACAATAGAAAACCTGCCCACATAATTTATTAACAGTATCACTTCTCAGGCTCAAATAAATTGCAAAAAGCTGCAAATAATCAAACTAGGTAATGATAATAAACTAAAAATTATGCAATTGCCGAAACCAGTTTAAATATTATCAGTTTTTGAAGAGCACACACTCTGTCACTTTTGAAGAGACATTTATCCTTTGTAAATAAACTTATAATTATTTTAGAAATGTTAAGCCCAGGTTTCCTTACGGTGTTTTCCATCACCGCTTGTCAGTGGTGTCTAGATAATCTTAGAAAGTATGTACATATACCTAACTCAGAAAAGGTCACAATTATAAGGGACGTAGGTTACAAGGGTTAGATTAGTTACCAGATTTTCAAAAGTTTTTGAGTGACCCAGACTTGTATAAGACCTTATTTTGGATTTTCCATTAACCCAACAATAGGGTAGATGCCTAATTATTACTTTAATGTCCGTCTGGTAAATTATTTTAAATCGGTAATGATTACAGAAACGAATACTTTCGACGATATATTGATTTGAAATGTCACATGACGTCACTTCTATGTACGTACATTTTAAACGTAGAAATGACGTTTTAGCCCCCACTCCTAAACTTTGATTCGTTTTATAAGTATTGTTTTATTATATGACTAACTAATATTTTTTAATTACCTAACTTATTATTTAGATTTTAAATTTTCAAACCCTGTCATCATCGCAATTATGTTTAGTTACGAAATAATGTTGAACACGTGAATACGAATCAAATACAATGCCAATGTACCGAGCGTGTTACCCGATCTAATCTCACTGGTTATGTCAATACTAGTTATTTTAGCATTGCAAACTTTACACGTCTTCAATAGTTAAGTAAATAAGAGCTGATAAGGATATTTATTGTGCTGATAATGTTATTGCTTACAATTATTACGTGGTAGCTTCGTCTGCAGTCTTTGCTTAACATGCCCGGACACACTGTTACAGGGTAGATGGTGCCGGACCCTGTTTAGCATATTTTCTGTCGTGTCTAATACAGTGATATTATTCTTTATATATTTCTTTAACCGTATCTTCATGCGATGACAATTTTTACGTGTCTAAAGTTATCTTGCTGTCCTTTTCAGGGTGCTTGAATGGAGTTCAGCTCTTCATTTAGCTACAATCAGTTTTATAGCAGTTTCCTCACAGATTAAATCGAAGAAAATTTATAACTGCGACTTAACAAGTTCTTGGTCACTTTGCCAATTTGGGAGTACTTAAAATTTGGGTTAGAAACATTGTATTTCTTTTCTTTTCCGACCTGTGACTTGACCTGTAACCTGACCTTCCACCTGTGAAGTGTCGGAACGTAGATCTAAGTGAGATACAATCATCATCAACAGCCTATAAATGCCCACTGCTGAGCAACAGAGAAGGTTTAAGCATTAATCACCACGCCTGCTCAATGCGGGTTCGTGATTACAAACTTATAATTAGAAATTATAAGCCCAGGTTTCCTCACGATGTTTTCCTTTACCGTTTGTCAGTGGCGTCTAGATAATCTTAGAAAGTACTTATAACTCGGAAAAAGTCACATTGGTACTTGCCGTTGGTAGGTTTCGAATCAATTGTTGAGGATGCCCTCATGCATGAGAAGAGGGCATCTTATACCTCCGGGCCACCACGACAGATTTCTTTATAAGCTACGCGACATACAATGTTTTCTATTGTGTCTCATATATCGACAGACAAGGGGAAAATGGGTTAACATGAATTTCATAACATTCATCGTTGTATAAATCTTTAATCGATACCCATTATCCATCTCCAATTTCTATAATACTGTATCCGATCTTTATAGCAATTAGTTGCAATCTCGTCTGAAACCGTCTATTTGCTTTCCAGTCACGAGACAATTATAACGCCAACCGAATGAATTCCTAATTCCATATAAGGCTAATTTATTAATGTTTGCACAGACAGCTGAAATTAGTGCATTTTTAAGCTGTCTTCGTATCTTTACTTACTTTGTACTTAGTTTGTGAATTTCCCAGAAGTATCCTTCAACTTAGTACACTTTGGTAGCACAAGTCGGTATGACAGTGCTAATATTAATAAATTGAATACTACGCAATTATTGGTTAGGTAATCATATAGGCAATATTTTAAAACTAATATAAAGTTTTGAAACTTGTAGTGAAGCGTGAAACAACGCTCTGTTGTGTTTCGTCGTTTGAGTGAGGTTACCGGAGGCCAAATTATCCCCCCCCCCTCCGCCCTTCTCTAGTCTCCGCATTCCCGGAATCCCCCACAATCTTCAAATTTCCAATTTCTAGAAGGCCAGTAACGCACTTGTAACGCCACTGGTGTCCATGGGTGACGCCGATTGTAAGTTAACTAAACTCCTAATTATACTGTTACACCCCTTTAGTAAACTAATGAAGAAATCAATTATGTAACTCATGAATAAATACGTTTATTAATTAAAAACTAGTTTGTACAAATCTCAGCCATTATTCTATAACGTAATGTAATCTTAAACTTGTTTGGTTACAATATCTGGAGGTAATAATGTCGCTACTAGGACTCCGCCTGTAAAGATAAAACAATTATTTTAGTTTAAAAAGTATTTATCGATTCGTTATAGCTAAATGAGCTCTTATTACAAGGCCATTATGTAAAAGAATTGTATACAGCAGGTACTAACTAAGCAGTTCTTTCTTCTAATTATTCAAAGTCCCAGATTATCGTTAAAAGAATTCATTAAACATCTGTATATGGAACAATAAAGACAAACAAATATAGAACTCCACCAATAAAATAACTTACTCATCAGATAAGCAGCGAAAGTGTAAAGAGTCATGGTGCAGTGTGTCATCACGAAGGTTCCCAAGAAGTAGACTCCTGCCAGGCCGCTCATACGAGCCACCATCACGCCCAAACATGCTGCCATGCCACTGGAGAACACATTACTAAATTACTTAAAATGGAAATCATAACTTCATCTCTACGTAACTCCCTAAAATCCCTTCTTTTGGTAAAACCAACTATCTCCAACCCGACTGTTAAACATGAAAATTATTATGCTTTATATGATAAGCCAATAAACGAGCAGACGGATCACCTAATGGTACTTTAAGCAATCTACGTCGTCCATGGACACCCGAAACACCAGCGTCGTTATAAATGCGTTACCGGCCTTTTGGGGATTAGGAATTTAAGGATTGTTGAATTAAGGGTTTGGGAAGATTGGAAAGGGGGGGGGACTCCTGTAACCTCATACACACGACGAAACACATCGCAAGCGTTTCACGTCGCTTATTCGTGACGCCGTGGTATCCGGTCGAGCCGGCCAATTCGTGCCGAAGCATGGCTCTCTCATGGTAAACCTTTCAAGAAAACCCATAGCCCTGCAGTGGGATTCACTTCATTTGCACGGGCTGCTGATGACGATAAGAGTTCCAAATAAAACCTTTGAATCATCAATACCAATACCAATCATGATGATGTCCTATTCTAATGACCAACTCACCTATTAAACGTAGGGTACACCTCCACATAGTAGCAAAACAGTACACCCATGCAAAGATTCGTGAAGGTCATTCCTAGGAACAGCACCAGGCTAGCCATGTTGTTCTGATTGTAAACCGCTCCAAGACTTGACAGAGCTGGTATGAAGAGGAACAGGATCATTAGCAACTTCTTTCTGGAAGCCAGCTTGGATATCATCAGGGTGATGGTTGCAAAGAGTAGACCGTGGGTGATGGCTGATATCAGGGTGTGAGACTTGATTGATGAGTCGCATATTGACTGTCAAAAATTTGATAATGTTCATATTCCCCTGTCTGGTTTAATTATACTGCTCTGTTTACTCCCGTCAACACTCCCGACAAAGTCAAAATCAGTCTTAAAGTCAATATTTCCATGTCAAAGTCTCAAACTTAAAATTTAATAATCAGTTTCAAATTCAAAGTCTGAAAGTCAAAGCTAAAAATCTCAAAATAAAAAGAAGTCTCAAACTCAAAGTCAATGTCTCATAGTCGAAGCCTCAAAGTGAAAGGCGGAGTCTCAAAATCAAAGTCACAAATTGTCATTGAACATTCTGACACTCACAGTTTCATTATATTCAGAGGACGTAGACTTGAGAATGCTGCACAAACTTCTGGATCCGTCTCCATTGTATGAGCTACTGCCATCCGTGAAGGCTCCAATGATGTACGGCATCCAAATTACCAAGCTGTTGTTACTGTAGAACACCATAAAAATAGACCATCGTAATATTTAAAAGCATACATACATACATAACACCACGCCTTTTATCCCCGAAGGGGTAGGCAGAAATGCACACAGAAGTAACACCCACTTTTCACTATTTATGTTATGAGTCCCATGTAATAGGGGGTGAGCCTATTGCCATATACCGGGCACGATTCCAGACACCGTGCTACTAATGAGATTTTTTTTTTAATCTCTGCAACGGCCCGACCCGGGAATCGAACCCGAGGCCTCTTGATCGGCAGTCGCACTTGCAACCACTCGGCCAACGAGGCAGTCAAAAGTAATCATCCATCAACAGCTTATAAATGTCCACTGCTGAGCAAAGCCTCTTCTCACACGGAGAAGGTTAGAGCGTTAATCACCACGCTTGCTCAATGCGGGTTGGCGATTTCAAACATATAATTAGAAATTATAAGTCCAGGTTTCCTCACGATGTTTTTCCTTCACCGTTTGTCA